AATGAGTGGGTGCAGTTTTAATCATTTACTAGGCAATTTAACCTTTTTTGTGGGAAAATTATATCAGACAACTGAGGAAGACCCTGTGGTACTTTACTTAGCATGTTACTGGAGAAACAATAGCGATAGCAGCACAATATTTAAAAATAATTCCATTTTGCTCTGTGCGTCTGTCGAGTGTATTTGAGGTCTGTGTATGTGATGTGATCCATTTGTTGCCTTGTCTCGTGTGTTAAGTATTTATTGTTGTTAAGGCATGACCCATATCTTTGCTTGTTACTGTCTGTTCAATAGCAGCTTTTATTTGGTTTTTATTATTTCACAGTGCAGTATCTGTGCACTGATGTAAGCTATATGGAAGCCCAAGAAGAAAAGTTATGAAATGTCTGAAAAGACAAAAATATGAAATATTCATTGTAAGAGAAAAATGTTTAAAATTGTAGACTTTTAAAGTCAAAATTATGATATCAATTCATATGTTACTTAATAAGTCAACATTATGATACTAAGTCAAGATTATGAGTCAAAATGCGATTTACCAAGTCAAAACCAGGTATATTGATTATCTCAGAGTATTTGGTATTGGAGCTAAACAGTCAAAATTGAGAATTACTACCTGTTTTTGTTATCATCTCTAACCTTTCATACATATTTTCTTTCTCTGGAAGGAATGATTTAAGCCAAATTTGTACTTGTTTCTTGTAATCCTTCTCTAAATCAACCTACAGGGACTGCAGATGAAAATTATTCTTTTGGCTTAGTCTGGCACATTTACAGCACATTGACGGTAAGGTAATTCATGTATATTGCCCTTGATAAATGAAAAACGTTACATTTCTGTAGACACTGACAACATGCAGAGCCAAAACAGTACAGCAAAAGACATTTAACAGCAAATGTGTTACAAAAAACAATATATAATATAAAGTCTAGGTGATTACCACTTTAAAAAGTAGTAGTTAAATAAGTCCTTAGATGACCGTTCTTTATACAGTCAGGACACATTTAAATGATGTTGACAAAAAATACCCAAGTGTTCCTCACACCAGTGAAATATAATCCTGGGCCTGCTTCTCTCTAGAGCCAACCGTGCTTGTCTGTGTTTGTGCTCGTTTAACATTTGTCTGTCTGCAAGTACACGCACAAATAGCTGTTAAAAATATGAAAATAACCTTGTTGTCTAGCGTATTGTTGGCCTTTTTACAACCCAGCCGCAATCGATCCAAATAAAAACACCATTCACCCTCTATCTCATTCACTCTCCCCAACTGCTGTGGTGTGTGTACGTGTGTGTGTGTGCGTTTGCCTGTGCGTATTCCTATGTGTAAGTGCAGCCAAACGTGACCCTCCGCCTCCTTAGTAAAGCAGCGCCTTGACACGTGTTCGGGTAATGGTGCTAATACGCTCATAAATCGAAATCAGCCCGGCAGTGTCAAATAAAAGAGAGGGAAAGAGGTTGTGTGTGTGTGTTAGCGTGCATGTGCGTGTGTAAGTGAGTGTGTAAAGTCTCAGGCTGCCAGCAGTCCAACGAGGCTTATCAAGAGAATCACCCTGTCCTGCTGCCGTCTGTTTACGGCTTTAAGCTAACACATACACCTCCTTGATGTCTCTCTGATAAGACACTGTTTTATGTGTGTGTGCATGTGTGTGTGTGCGCACATGAAGGACATGTCAACTGCACTCATTTAGACAGCTCACTGCTGTTAACCTGTGTGTCCTCCTCATTACGGCCCATATCCGTGTTGCTATGGACGATATGAGAGGAGGCAGATAAAGCAGCAGGAGGGATTTGCATGTTAAAGCCCCCTTCTCTCTCTCTCCTTCTTTTTCTCACTGAAAGCAGAGTGGCTCGCCGTGCACACACACATACACACACACACACCGTATCCCACTCTTTACAGGGCTTGAATGCATAATCGCGCTCTTTCGGACCTGTAGTCCAAGTACATGAAGCGCCAGTTTGAAACAAACGGCTGAAAGCCTGCAGGGCGAGATGGAAATAAGAGAGTGAGAGCAGAGGGGAGATACTTGAGAAGGGGAATTTCTGGTGTAGGATGAGAGCCATCTATCCTCAATATCCTTTCAGGAAATAAGAAAAAAAGTGATTTAATTTCAGATTTACAGCAACGCATTCTCAAAATTGTATCATTACTTTCATTGAGGCTTCTGCCAAGACCTTGAAGCTTGTTTCACTTAGTGAACTTGTGAGCCCTCAAGTAAAAATATGCTAATTACCAGACTCGCAGTGAGAGTTTTTTGTGTTGTGTTCAAAATTGTGATCCCACCACGTAAATGCTTTCTATAAGATTTATTTCTGAGGTTAGGATCCCTCGGCACGTCTGTGATATATGGCTGTTTGGTGTGGTATTTTTGATTAAAATGGTTTACACATTATGATTACCCAAACATTTTTGAGGTTTGTGGTCAAACCAATTGCTTCTCCAGGGAGTGTTGGCTGATTGTCTGCTGTTCATGGTTGAAGTGATTTAACTCTGGCAACAGGGCTGTTTTAGCTATCTCATGTTTTTCCAAGAGGTGCCTTTTTTTTATTTTTAGCCTTAATAAAAACATGAAGCCACATACTGCAGATAGTTTCAGAAAGGAATTTCTATGCTGGTATATGTCAAAGGCCGAAGATTTCTGAAAAATCCCCAATAAGAAAAATAAATTGTCAAACATTTGCGGCACAACAGCTGCTGCACTGGTGTGAGCGTTTACCATGCTGGTTACAAGACCACCACTCAGCTGTGGTCGAATAACTCAAACAGATTTAAAGTTTATGCCTTTAGTCTGAAAGCTCTGCCAGAAAAATGTTTAAAATGTTCAAACTAAAGGCTGGGACAGACCTGAGCCTGGAAGAGTTGTTCTGTTATATTTCATCTTTCAAAAGATGAAAGAAGTGTTTCATTTTAGTATTTTACACTTCTGACTGAACTGCAATGTCCCTCTGCAGTAAATCATACTCTTACAGTACTTACAGTGGGTTAAAACATGATGGAAGTTTCCAGTGTGTGTGTGTGTGTGTGTGTGTGTGTGTGTGTGTGTGTGTGTGTGTGTGTGTGTGTGTGTGTGTGTGTGTGTGTGTTCATGCGCTGTCTGCATGTGACTGTGCGTCTGCCTGTTTACTTTACGCGGCAGCCTTTGGCAGCTCACTCTCTCCTCCTCCAAAGCTCTCCTCCCAACTTTAATTAACACACACACACACGCATGCATGCACGCACACACACACAAGCATACACAGCACCCCAGAGAGTCCAGGGGAGCAAAGGGAACCAGGGAAGGAAAACAAAAATATTTCTCTGACTGAAAAGGAGAACCTGCTTCCAGTAAAAAGAAAGAAGGGTGTTAAAGGTTGTTGTTGTGTGTGTGTGTGTGTGTGGGTGTGGGTGTGTGTGTGTGTGTGTGTGTGTGTGTGTGTGTGTGTGTGTGTGTCTGTGTGCATGCGTGTTTGTGGGACCTGGAGGATGTGATGAGTCACCGCTCCTCTGAGTCATCACTAACAACGATGATAGGAGAAAGAGAATATTGGAGTCAAACAGGACTCCCTTCACACATCATTGTTGTTTCAGAAAACACCAAAGTGTGTGAGAGTGCACATGAGATTCTGCACTGACCACAATGTGGAGGGTGTGTTTATGTGTTTGAGGGTGATTTACCACTGAGCATGCACAGTGTGTTTGTTTGTGCAGTGCTACAGTGAGTAGGAAGACTGTCCTTCAACCAGATGTCTGACTGTCACTGAGCACAGTGGTGTGTTTACAGAAAGTCCAAAAGTCGGCTGCATTCATGTGAGTCAGAGAAAGATGATGAGCATACCTAAAGTTAAAGCTGCGCTAATCTATACTTTTATATTTACACTGGGTCCATTGACTGTGTGTATTGTGAATAATGTTGCCCTTAGCTCTGAGTCCACAGAGAATTATTACCCCAGTGTGCAGCTGTACAGAGCTTTTTGGCCTCTTTTAGCTCATTGTTTTTAACCCACAGAGTCCACTCTAATCAGCCTAGATACCAGCCACAGCAGGCAGTTGGTTTTCCTTAGTCAACAAGCTATGATAAACACAACACTTCCTGCACTGCACTAAACAGCAGACAGACAGTGTTAGTTGGTGAACACAGTGGAGCATTTAGCAGCTACAGAGCCAGATATTTGTTCTCAGGAGACCAAAACAGAGCTGAAAAGAGACAGAATATTGGACTTACATTCATAGTAAATAGATAGATACTTTATTTATCCCGAGGGAAATGAAAATTATCGGGATAATGAGAAGTATATATGTTACTCCAATAATTCTGTTATAGATAATAAATTATCAGTTGGTAATAATAATAATAATAATAATAATGATAATAATAATTATCATTTATTTTATTCTTATTCAAAACCTTTGATAGGATTTGTGTTCCATGAAAGCCAAAGTATGTTTGTGAAGTTTTTTGATGAACTTAATTGAAAAAATAAATGAATATTTGAAGAGTTCTTTGTTTTTGTTGTACTAAAAGTAGGGATGCTATAGAATATTAGATCATCCATCTTTGCTCACTGCATCTATAACCTTGATTATTAGGTGTGTTTTCACATTTTTAAAAATGGGAAATTATTGGTTATGTTATCGGTATTGGCCACGAGAAGCAGGTAATTATCGGTTAATGTATCGGCTGAACAAAATCCGTATCATGCGTCCCGACTCCAAAGCAATGCTAATGTAGCTCATTGTCTGATAGGCCTTTGTCACAGCAGACATTTTGACACGTCTTGGTAGGAAAAACAGGTGTTACTAACATGAACAATGTTTCTGTTCTATTCATGTCTCCCAGTAAGCCATGACAGTGTGACAGACTGCTTTGTGTTAAAAAGGCTTAACAAGGGCCGTTTTGCTCTCAAAATAACATTTAATGCAATCCTGATCAAAACTGACTGACTTCAAGAAGGAACATATGCTAAAAGTACAGATAAAACATACCACATTACACAATGAATGTCTGGACATATTAAAGAAAAAAAGGTGACAATAAAAGTATTACCAACAATCACAAAACTAAGAAAACAGAAGGTGAGTCAGGAAGGAGCTGCCTATATAAAGTAGTCCCAGCAAAGGCACAATACCAAACAATTTCCAGGAAACTGTGTTGCATCATTTCTCCCGGTCTGAGGACAACTTGGCCACTCTATTTACAATGGTTCTGGCTGCATGTGAGTATTAACAAAACTTGGTTTAAATACTGTTTAGAATAGAATAGAATAGAATGCCTTTATTGTCACTGTACACATGTACGATGAGATTAAATAGCCAACTCCAATCCATTTATGATGTTACGACTGTTTTGTCTTTATATCTGATATTTTCTATAATTCAGTGTTTTCAAAGCAGGTTTATTTAACGTGGTAGATACCTCGGAACGGGAAAATTAAGTAAATAAGCAGGCATATAACTTGGGTACTTCTTGAGTAATTGTTTTACATGCATATGGTTCAACATTTATTGTCATTTCTTGATATCTCTAGAGGAGAGGGATCTATTTGATAAAATGTCCCGACGGAGTGGCTCCAAAGAAAGAATCAGCGGTCAGACCACCTGCAAAATACAGTCAGTATCCAGACATCCAGTACAATTCAAAAAATGACTGTTTATATAACGGTGTGTTCATAATTTTACTTGTGCGTGACTTTTTTATCTTTCTGTTTAAATAGGAGTATACAGGAGAAATATCAGAAAATGGTGCACCAAGCTGTGACAGGGCCCTGCCTTTCACTCGACAATAAAAGATACAGGTAAATATATTAATACTGCTGTAAATTATAGTGTGCCAGAACAACATTATGTAAGTCAGTATTGTTTTGTTTGACAATCTTTGCAGGGATACTTCCTGTACATTCATCAGCACCGGATAGAGCCCCAGAACCTGCAGCCCCTTCCAGTCCTATTTTGATCACAGATACTCCAGTGTCCAGACCCACTGGCAATCAGTATCCATCCACTCCAGAAGATCCTGAATCACCTATTGTGATCCCTGAGGGTCAGGACTTGAGAGCAGCAGTGGAATTATCGACACTGGGGAACATTCTTCATCACACAATGGACTCTCCCTCTACAGGCAAAGTCTGATACAGGTAGATATCTTATTTAAAACACTGTAAATCAGGTGTCTCAAACTTAAATTGACTTGGGGCCTCTACTGCTATTGTCATCTCGTAGGAGGGCTGCTTCAGTATTTAAGTACTACAAGAAAGCACAATGACATTACTACCATCGTAAGTCAAACAGGAGTTTCTATACATTGCGGGCACCTTTGACCTTTGTCATTATTTTGCACCAACTTAAATAAATAAATAAAAATTAATTACGTATTAAATTATGAATTTACAACAGTTTATTTATTGGCAAGCAACGTAATCCTCTCTCTCTCTCTCTCTCTCTCTCTCTCTCTCAGAGACCCAACTTAAACCAGAGCAGCCTATGCTGCTTATGGGGAGCATCTTAAGCTTTATTGTTTCCCACAGAACGGTGGAGGGGTATATTTTTATATCTATAGGTCATTTTCTACTTCACCATTTTCTCATCATTTTAGTGTGTTATTGTTTATGCACAAAATACTTTGTGCTCTTGCTTTTTCCCTCCTTTTTTCTCTCACTCGCCCACACATACACATCTGTGTCACACACACCGGCCGCCCTGCCCGCCTTTTTCTGCTTCTCTCTCCATGTATCATAAAGACTGTGTGTCTGTCAGTTACTTTGTTGGTCAGCAGGAAGATTTATAAAGTTGCTCAAGAAACACAACTCATGTTTTGGATTCCGTTTTAGTACACATACAAACAGTTGACAGAAAATTAAAAGTCAATGACTTATTTAACTTTATATGGAAAAATAACTGTAATAAACACTTTAATAATACCTCAATTTATATATTTGCTCACTGCCTTCCCCAGGAGAAGAGTTGTGATATAAACAAAAATAAGCCTGATAAGATCAAAAGAGCTTACTGATATAACAATTCTAAAAATGAAACTGTTAAACTTTAAAGCACTACACTTTGCATTAAAAGCATCCCTTATACCTACATTTATTATGAATCTGCATTGGTTCTCAGCAAAGTGATTGATATCTGTTCATCCCCTGTTCCAGATAGAACTTTACCCTTACCTCCAGCTAACTGCCTTTCAATTTACTGTATTAAAGAGAAAGTCTTTTCCATATTTATCAGGTTTTTTTGGAAGGTGTTATCGTTAGCTGGTTCAGTACCAATATCAGAATATAATTATGAAATCCAAAGTCAAGTGTTATGGTGCAATGGAAATATATTAATCAAGGATAAACCATTATTTATTGAACGGATGTTTGAAAAAGGAATATTTTTTATTAATGACAACAGTAGGGCCAAACCATGTCTTGTAAATAAAATGTCATGCTGTCCATATATAAGTTATTATTATTAACATAGATGAGCAAAAAAACAAAACAAAATATATCAATTATACATGCATCTCAATAAAATATCTGCTGCACCGGCAGTCCCACAGGGGAACGTTTTTATATGTATTTACACAACTACCTTTAATGTTTCCAGCAGTTAAAAACTAAAACTAATTTACAGATACTTGCCTGAAAATGCTTAACAAATAGGTCATTCAACAGTGTGGCTTATGTCAATTTTGTGAAGAGGAAGAGGAGTCAGATGTTCATCTTTTTGGCATTGTAAGGAAGGTGCATTGTTTTGGATTTTTATAGTTGTCCTTTCACCATAATGCTTGGTGATCTGGTGACAATATCATCTTAATGATGAGGAAAACATGTATTTAGAGCTACAAAGAGACAATTCTATATTGAATAGTTTAAAATGTTTTTGAAGCGTCAGTGGGATCTTAAAAGATGTTAAAAGGAATAAAGAACCGAATAAATTTAAAAACCAGTAAAAAAAAAAAAAAGAAAAACATGGGTGAAAAACTGTGTGTGAGTCTGGGTGAAGGCAAAAGGTGATAAAAGTCAAGAGGGTTAGAAACATTTATGTTATTGTTGGTTTGTTTATTGTTATTTTTGGTGCATTGAATAATTACATGGGAGTGTGTGTATATGGATATGCATAGTACGTGTGTGTGTGTGTGTGTGTGTGTGTGTGTGTATATATAGTGTGTGTGTGTGTGTGTGTGTGTGTGTGTGGAAGTATGTGTTTCTGTGTGAATATGTATCTATATGTATGTGGGTTGACTTATATGTGTGTATTGGTTTAAATGTATGTACAGATATGTTTGTACGTGTGGATACTTATATCCTATACTACAACCTTTGATGTAACATTGAGACTACAACAGATAGTTTTTTTCGTTTTCTTTCTGGTCTTGTTTTTGTGTTGCTCTGGGTGTGTAGATAAATATCCTTTGGACCATTGAAAAACATATAATAATAATAAAACTCTTGCGGACAAAATTATATTATGTTTTTGGCATCATGTTGCAGGCCGGAGGTAAAGGGAATGGCGGGCCAGAAATGTTTGAGGCTGGTAGTTTGAGACCTCTGTTGTAAATGAAACTGTGTCAGAATGACATTATTTAAGTCAGTTTTGTTTCAAAATCTTTGCAGGAATATGTCCTGTACAGTCATCAGCACCAGATACTCCATCCATTCTAGGAGGTCCTGAACCATCTTTTGTGATTCCCAACACCCAGGACTTGAGAGCGGTAGCAGAATTATTGACCCAGGGGAACGTTCTTCTTCACACACAAACTCCAGAACCTGCATGTCTGCCGAACTGGACTGATGCACAGATACAGGACAGAGGCCACAGAACAACCTGCTCACAGTGAGAATCCATGCAACACACTGCTGGTACAAAGAGCAAGAGTGCAACAGCCGCATCAAAGCAAGATTTTAAAATACACAAGATGAGTTTGATGGTCTGCTAATGCGAACCAGAGCGCAACTGTTGACATTTAGAACAACAAAGTCTGTGGTTGTATACAATGCAAAGAGATTAGCCAATATTGCTTTAAAACAAGTAGGGAAAAGCCAGTAAATTTAAAAAGAAATTGGTCATCTTAGAAAGGAGGTAAGAGTGATGAAGGAAATACTGATAGATGCAGAAGTAAATGAGTAGCATGTGTTATTATGCAAAATAATAATTAGTGTCTGATATCCCCTATTTTATTTCGTAGTGTTTAATCATGGCTTGTTAATGTTTACACAAAGTAAAACAACAAACGATGTGTTATTGTGATTAGTGATGATGAAAGCCATACTGAAAATTATGAATCCAAAAGCATTTCAGATGTAAAGGAGGAAATTAGGCAAATGGTTAATGATATAGTGAAGTAAATTGGCTTGAATATGACCCATTATCCCCACTCAGCAGTTTATCTGCTGTTGAAGATGAACTGGGCAAAATAGAAGAGGAGATTGTGGAATTGACCACTGCACAGAGTCTTCTGCAACAGAGTTTGCTGAACCAGATACAAAAACCCACACCCCTCATCACAAGTCTCAGAATGTGTAGAGTCAAATCCCAAAGTCCAAAATGTAGTAAAACATAAGTTAGGAGAGGTTTTAGCAGAGGCGTTCTAAATTTTGTACTGAGAGGTCCATCAGTGTCCAAAGATGTGTGTGCAGTATTAAAAACATCTAACAGCTGTAATACTGAAACATTTTTGAGTGAAATTGAACAGGTCATGCAAAGCAATTAAAAAATGACGTCAGATGATATGCTTTAGATCGTTGTCACAGCAGCATTAGGCAAACGTGGTGGTGTGATGCGCAAATTGGGAAATGTCAGCTGATGATCAGATTATTCAAAAGAAAACAGGCATGTCTCTGTGTTTCTCTGTGTGTAGCCCGTTATAAGTACCCTCACAAATGAAATCAAGCACAAGTGGGATTTGCCTCAAATCATAAAGTCTCACTAACAGATGGGTAAAAATTTGAACATATTGGTGTTAAAATTCTTGTTTTTCACCACAATCAAGGAACGAAGAAATTGGACATGTATCAAACCCAAGAACAACCCCATCCAAAAACACTATGGCTTTATCTGTACCAGGATCAGTACCACATTACAAGTATTTCTGCTGTCTATGACACACACAACAGGATTTAAAACCCATACGCTGTCATTGTCGTTGTGAGTGTTTTGTCTTAACAGACACAAAGAAGTGACAGAATCCATAAACCGTGAAAGATTCATACCATGTAATAACATTAAATATTGTGATGATTGCGGTAGCCTCTCCTCAGTAAGTCACCAAACAAACGCTGCAGGTCATAAATGCCAAAAACCGAATGTGGTCAATACAGAAATCTGTTAGGCTCAAACATACAACATCAGTGTTATATACGATCTGAATAACCACCAAAGCCACAGACTTAATATGTCTCTTTGACTTTGAAACAACAACACACATCAACAAACATGTAGCCAACTTTGTCTGTGCAACCAAAAATGGTGGACCTCTTGTGCAACTTCAAGACAATCTGTGTAAAGAATGTGTTAAGACATTCCTAAAACGAAACCAAGATGCTTCAGGCTACCCCAGTTTTGCAAAAGATGAGGAATCAAAAGCAAAATACATACAGGACTACTACGACAAAGAGGGGATTCAGCTAAATCCAGAAAAAATTGCTGTTGCTCAATTCTTTATGGGGTTGTTTTTCAATGCAGGAAAACCAGGTCACATGTGAGCTAGTAAAAGATCCTGAGCAATTCACATGTTTATTGACCAGTATGACGTCAGACAGTTTTCATTTGTGTCTGATCACATTGCCCTTGTTCAGTGGAGACATGCAGTAGCACAGGCTGCTAAAACTAAAAATATTAACTTCATCGGGGGAATGACAACACCATATGCACGACTTATGCTCTATGACGTGATGGACAGGTTAGGGGAGAGATCCATCTATTCTGACACAGACAGTGTTGTTTTTGTGTCAAAGGTTGCAGACTGGGCCCCCGAAACAGGTCGCTTTTTAGGGGACCTTACCGATGAGGTTAATGGAGATACTGGAGACTACGACTACATTGTTGTGTTTGAGTCAGGGGGTCCGTAATGCTACGCTCATCGGACACTCCAAAACAATACCCAATTGAAATGGCAAGGGAACCACTCTAAACGCTCACAATGCTTCTGTCGTCACACATGATGCCCTTGTGAGCCTTGTTTACAGGTTTGCGAGCCTTGTCATGACAACACAAACTATAATGACAAAGTCAGACGCAAATAAAAAGGCATTCGAACTGGAAAACAAATCAGTTGAAAAAAGATTCCAAGTTGTGTACACCAAACGCCGTATCTTTTCTGATCGGACAACATTGCCCTACAGCTCCTGATATGGGAGTTAGAGAAATTGAAGATTTTGATTTTAGACTGCAACATCCTTTTAGTCTAATTGTACCAGGTCCCTCAAACAGCAGAAAAACATATTTTTTAAGAAAGCTAATGGAAAATGCAGACAAATTGATTTCAAAGAGCATTGACATTATTGTATATATTTATTCATTCTGGCAACCTTTGTACAATGATTTGATGAAAATAAGAAACTTTAATTTTGTTGAGCGCTTGTCTTTAAGCAATGATTTACTGTTACCTGTAAATAAAAACAATTGATTGATTATTGATGATTTCATGATTGATGCTAGTATCATGTTGACATTAAATGTTCTAAAAGGCAAAAGACCTCTAAACAAAACACACTATCAAAACTTAAAAAGAAGAAGGAAGGGATTGGACTAATGACTGATAAAAGATGTGCATGTCAAAGAAAAAGAACTTCATCAACCAGTCCAGTGGATTTCTTTTCTCTCCTGAGTATAGCAGTTGCCCTTTATATTGAGTCTCATTGCATCAAGACCATAAGATATGGAACATGCTCAGAAAATGTTTCTAGTACCTCAACAACAACTTGATCTTTTAAGAAGCCTGCACATGAGTCTATTGGAGAAACTGTTGAAAATGAGCTGGATTGTGCTGATACTAAATCAACAGGAAAAGAAAAAAGGTTCTGTGCCTCCCTATGACCTTGCTACTCCTTCTAACCACTGTATACCTCAAATTACAAAACATTAAGCAACAATAGACTAAATGAACAAGTACTGTTGGTTAGGTGAGCTTAATTAGATATCGTCTATTAACACACACATTTCTACAGGAATGCATACAAATATAAATAAAACAAAGTCATATTTACAGAAGGCAGTTAAGTTTAATAGGACATTTGGCCTCCTAAGACCAACCAATTTGCACATTACTAAAGTCTTATCAAGAACATTCTTTAAGTTTTACTGGAGAACGATGTAACACACAAACTTAGTGAAGCATTTACGAATAGCTAGTCCAACCCAGTCCAGGAACCTGAAACTGTAGAAGCTAAATGGAATTCAGCCATAATTCCTTTTAATATTTACACCTGTCCTTTTCCTTCTTTGTCATGTCACAGTGTCTCTTGTTAAAAGGCCTATTGTTCGCTAACACACACCGTAACAACTTTGCAGCATAACAGGTCAGCTTGTGTTACAGCTTGTTGCATCAATGAACGCAGTTTTAGATCAAATGTCTTTTGTAATGCTTCTAGCAAAGTGTTTCAATTCAGTGTGTCTGAATTAATCTGGATTGTTCCAGTTTATTTACTCATTTGAAAGATATTTTGGGCTTTTTATGCCTTTACTTGATAGGACAGGTGAATATAAACAGGAAAGGAGAAGCAGGGGTCGGGCTGTAAAGGGCTGTAGGTTGGAATCGAACCCAGGCCGCTGCGGTAAGGACTGAGCCTACATGGGGCACACGATCTACCAGTTGAGTTACTGTGCCCAACAGTTTATTGAAATTGTTAATATCATAAAATGGAGCCAGAGCTTTTCTAATTATCCAATATTATCTCCAGCTTCAATGTGGAGTTTACCCAGCAGCAGAGTTACAAAAGCTACATGTTAAAACCCCCTGGTAGCTAACGTAGTAGAGCACGTACCACATATCAAGGCTGTGTCCTTACTGCCGTGGCCCACATTCTAACCCGGCCCCAGCCTTTTTGCTGCATGTCACAAAAAAAACAATTGACGAGACAACTAGAGGATGAATCAACTCATAATAGCACCAAACCAAAATAACAGCGCAAGCATCTGCTGTGGCTGACCTTCCTCCACAGACACCATAGCGTCGCTGACATCATAGAATGTTTACCAGGCTGGGTATTGCTGGGCAGCCCCCTCCCACACAGTGATTTCTTGCAACTGGTAAGACACTTCGTAGACAAAGGAAAACTGTGTATCTTTGTAATGAAAGTAATAAAGGTTACTAAAATATCAATATTTATTAGTGTCATTACTTTAAAGATGATATCTCAACTAATTATAAGATTAAACACAAACAGATCCGGGATAGTAATGTGTATTGACGCTATCAAGGGGAATTTGTGGTTAACGTAACAGGTAATGAAACTAAACAAACAAAGGTGTGGTAATGAAATGGCTAGGAAATGAACAGGTACGTGGTGCAGTTGGGTCCACTTCATAAGGTGCAAGGTTCAATTTATTCATCCATAAAAACATGGAAGTGCACCCATCCTAAACAACTAACTGGAGATAGAAAATAAGATTTAAATGTGCATAAAGACATACACAACACAACACTAATATAGTATATTCCACATGTGAAAAAACATCAAGTGTTCTTTCTGTTTCACTTGTGTGTTTATTTTTTCACAATTAATGTTAAGACATGTCTCATGTGAAATAACCTCAAATCACCTGCCTGTATCCTGGCTATTAATCCCATAAAATATCCCAAATCTGTGTTCTTTTAGATACTTTACGTCTTTTGATACATTTATTCACATATTATTTTTGTTACAGACAAATATATTTCATACATACAAATAGGAATTTCCCAAAAACATTTTAAAGAATATTTTATTTTTATTTTGGGCGAATGCAGGTTGACACCCTGCAGGCTCTGAACTCCCTGTGAAGTGGGAAACCAAATTTCCTCACCACCAGTGTATCACATTAGGGTTTGTTCAAGAAACACTGCTGTGTCACCGTGACCCCTGCACCCGGATCCCCCACCATATCATTCACCTTTACACCTCCAACCAACAGCGAGCCGTCAGCAGATTTGTCCATCAGGATGAGGCGTGGTGCAGCTTTCTGATAAAACTTTACTTCCTTATCTCATCTCATTGATTGAGATAAGCACTCGCTGCACGAGGTTTATATAACAGTGAGTGTTGATTTGCTGTGCAGTCATTTGGCTCCAGCTCTGTGGATGATGTGTTGGTCCAGAGAGAGAAGTAAACAAAGCAGAGAGGAAGGAGGGAGGACACGTGAATCTCACACACACACACACACACACACACACACACACACCTGTCCGATGTTTTCCCCAGCTGCGAGTACAGTCTGTTTCTCCCAGGGACTCTGACAGAGAGACGTTGAACGACACTCACACTCCTCTCCACCTCCCCCATCATGTCCACACACACACACACACACACACACACAGTCAGTCGCACACGTGTACACACTTTTCTCCGCGGTTTAGAGATGTCACGTCTGGCTGAGTTTGAAGTGTATCTAAGGGGCTATGATTATTTTTCTCTACTACACGCACACACACACACACACACACACACACACACAAACCGCACACTCTTTTCTGGAGAACCTCAGTCGAGCTGGGGACTCATCCAGTATGAAGGCTGAGTTGATGACTGCTCAGTGCGGTTTAAAGTTGCCTCAGGCCAGTTTGAGCCAGACCTGTGCTTACTCTCTGCTCGCGCCACTGATCGCTCTACCTGCTACACACACACGCACGCACACACACACATACACACACACACACACACACACACACACATAAAGCTCTGTTCACTTCAAGGACTCACGAGACAAGGAATACTCTGTCTTTGATGGTTTGGTGTGTGACAAAAAACAACACAGGTGGTGTACTGTACACCGTCTATATGTCTTTTCAAAGATTTTGTTTTTTATCCTGTCCGTCTAACCATTTAAATGAAATAAATTAAAAATGTATTTACATTTCTAAGACTGATTGATCTAATCAGCTGTGCACATTCTACCACATGATCTGGTGTAAACTTGATATCTAGTTAGCCATTCTCACATGATGATTATTTTATTATACTGTAATTAAATTAATTAAACGGTTTTTACAATTCAGGCATTGTCTCTCTATTAAAAATCAGACAAAACTTCACCGTTTTGAAGGCCAAAATGTACATTGCCAACGAATTCCATTGGGTTTTAGAGTGATTTTATCTGCTTGACTGATGGATTTGGTCCCCTGTTTCTGCATCAAAGATGTCAAACTCTTTTTAGCTCAACAGAAATGTATTTTTGTCAGTGGCAGCAAAATACGTTACATGAAACTCCCATGGGTTAAAGTGGGTTTAAAGAACGTTCTGTTGGTGTTAAAGGTTGACCCTGTAACTCACCGACCACAACCTTTAAAAACATTTTATCAAATACAAAAAGTCATCTAACATTAAGGCCAAAGTAGTGTTTTTTGGTTTTTTTTTTTTTACACAACTCTTGTACCCAAACACATTTGTCCTTCAACAGTAAGACTTTGTCACCCACACTTAGAGCTGGATTATTCAATCAGTTGCCAACTATTTTAATAATCGATTTATCAAAAGTAATTTTTTAAGAGAAAAAGTCTAAATTCTCTAATTTCAGCTTCTCACCAGTGAATATGTTCTGGTTTCTTTAGTTCTCTATGACAGTAAACTGAATATCTTTGGATTGGTTAAACAAGACATCTGATGATCAACATTTTTCTGACATTTTATGGACCATGATGATCAACAGATGAATCGACAATGAAAATAATCATGAGCTGCTGCCCTTTTTTGCATGCCTGATCCATTCCTGAAAATCCTCTGCAGATATATCCAGACATCCAGGATTCATTGTGTCTGATGGTCATAAACCTTTTACCTAGATGAGGTGAAAAGAAATCTCCTATGTAGGGTTGAGGAATGCATAGTAAGGTGGAAGGAAAAGTGACACCATCCTAGAGTAGTCCATGCTGACTTCTGTGGTGCTGACTGTGAAGAGTTTTGATAAAGTGTGAGTGTGAATTAGCAATTGTAAAAAAAAAACTCAAAACCTCAGTTGAGGTCAAATTTGAATTTCCTCCTTTGAAAGACAGAAGGTTGCTGAAGGTTTAGTTGTCCATTCACAGGTGGATATAAAAGACATTGAGACTGGATGCCCTCAGGACAAAGAGTCCCAGGGTCAGAGACAGTGTACCGGTTGTCACATCTTCCCTTAAGAAGTGGTCATTAAATGGGACACTGTGTGTGTGTGTGTGTGTGTGTGTGTGTGTGTGTGTGGTGTGTGTGTGGGTGTGTGTGTGTGACTGTGTACTTAGTCATTGGATTAGTAGTGGAGACGGTGACACACTTTGTCAGTTGAGCTTTGTTAACAGAACAGACATTGAGTGTTTCTGTCTGCCTCAGTGTGTGTGTGTGTGTGTGTGTGTGTGTAAGATGTGTGCTGTCTTTACTAAAGCGCTATTGGCAGAAATGACACAG